ACGAAGCATTGAGAACTTTGTAAGTGTACAGACCGTTTAATAAGAAGATAAAGATAAAGACTTATACAGACAGGAGCCATCTTTGGAAAACAGTCTCGACTAATCAAACCACGAACGACGTGCTAAGTGAGCTGAACTGTATGAAGTTCAGTGAACTTCTGAACTGTATGAATGGCGTTCGTGGTTTGATTAGTCGAGACTGTTTTCCTAAGATGGCTCCTGTCTGTATACACGAAGTGGACTGTCTTTATCTTTATCTTCTTATTAAACGGTCTGTACACTTACAAAGTTCTCAATGCTTCGTTTTGCATGTAGGGACCCTCATTATGTTACTGTGTTCGTGTGGGGCTATTTTGAGCCTTGTTAGTGGTATAAACTAGCGATTTCTTTTTACTTATTATATGCCCCCATTACTAGCGTTATACGCTAAACAGTTTTTAGAGATAAAACTCTTTACATTCGATTATCATGAAAACAAATCTCAGAGAACGGTTGACTAGGTACCAATGTTTTATTAGACCAAAGGTTCATTTTGCGCCGGAGTTCTCCGTTAAGCAGTTTTTACTAATGAGGGTAAGATTTTGATGGATGAGTGTTGATCTTAGATCAGCTTGAGTGTGCAGCTTCCATCCAAAGCTGTTTACCTTCTCAACCCGATAAGTGAGACAAACAATTCTCAACATTTAAAGGGATAGTTCACTCAAAAATGAATTTTTTTGTGACATTCCAAACCTCAATGATTTCTTTCTTCTGTCAGAAACAGAAGACACATCCTTCCGTTAGGCATGATGTTGACCCTGTTCTTTTGCATACATTTGCCAGTGAATAGTGACCAGGAGCCGTCAAGCACCAAAACGCACCTAAAAAAGTGTCAAAAAAGCAGTTCATATGACTAAATTCCAGGCCTTTTAAGGCCATATGTAGCTTTGTGTGAGGAACAGACAGATTATTCACTGAAAATCTCATTAATGCTATTTGAATGTGCCTTGTGATCGGTTACTAGATCCATTAGTATCAATGATGGTTGGCATCTTTGACATCAAACCAGGTTATCAAAGTTATAATATGGATTAAGAAGAGTTGGAATATAGTGCACAACCCATATGGACCACTTTTATGGAGATTTTTGTCCTAGTCACCATTCACTTGAATATAAAACAGCAGTGTGAACTTTCTACTAAACATCTGCTTCTGAGATCCATGGAATAAGGAAATCACACAGGCTTTGGAAAGACATGAAGATGAGCGAAACTGGATTAATTTTTTTGTTTGTTTGACTGCATCTAAAATATCAAAGAATGGCAATTTCATCACATAAAGTATGAAAAAGGAAGATCAATAAGGCGGCAACTAAGCCATTTGAAAACTCCACAGAAAATGCTTTGACAGTGGAAACTCTCTGGAAGCGGTCAACTTTACACTAATGAAACTCTGCGGGAAAGAGGATGATTTTTCCGAAGTTTGCGCAAACCTGTCCTGCTGCACTGGTCATTAGTGGCAGGAAGTGCCCTGGCCTCATTGGGCCCCACAACATATGTATTAAAGTGGCCACATTCATGGGAAGTGGTTCAGTGATTTGGTCATGTGAGCCACACCTACAGACTGGAGCCCTATCACGGCCTGAGGCTCAACGGCAGACGGGGAAGTGTATTCTTAAAATGGAGAAGAACATCAGTGGGGAATAAAAAATTATTAATAATTTGTTTAGACATATTTACATATAGACATTACCGAACAAGACTGAAGTACAAAAAAATCTATTTTGTGCAGAGGATATGGAGGAAATTAATTTAGACATGCTGTCAGTAATCTTAGCACACATGAGTTGTCAAGGCATGAAATAAGTGCCCAATGCTCTTCCACATCTGGCCATGCAGCTATAAAAGCCTGTCCAAGCCTGTAGGTCACTGGTAATGGATTGAAATCAGGACATGGTGTTTTGTATACACTACTAGTATAACAATAAAAGGACAAAGCAGAGAGCCAAAGGCGTTAAACGCAAGTATGAACAAGAATAATGTCAATTTTGGTTCAAGAGAGACATCAACTAGATGTCCACAGGGACCTTTCATTACGTGATGAAGCCGCCAAGACTTATTTACAAAACGATAGTGTAAGAATGGACAGCATCATTCATTCATTCAATCATTCATTACTCCAGTATCATCATGGCTATATACTAAAATAAAAATATACAGAAAAGAAGCTGTCTTGGTTTCAAATAAATAATGACCGTAGAATAAAACTTGCTTTGTTTATAAATGTAGTTTGCCATGCTGTCTCTGTAGCGCTCAGACGAAAACAAAAACACTTACCGCTCGCAGTGAAGACTGAAACGGCAAGAAAGCACGCCGCAAAAAGTGGGAAACTAACAAATAAGCTGGGTAAAGTTCTCATGGTGCCGAAGTGTAGTTCTTCGGTCAACTTCTCGTCGGTCTCAAGAGTCGTTCGGTGTGAATCCGTTCGCCGTTATGACTACGGGCAAGATTAGAAGCGAGAGGGACAATATGTGCGCTCCCACGTGTATCTCTGCTCTCAGCCAATTACATTCTGTTGTTAACAAATGGCCCCGCCCATGACCCCGCCCCTCGGAAAGTCATTAGTTCGAATAACGGTGCTCTGCTATTGATTGACTTGATACTGTAAACAAAGCGCGGCACGGTTTGCAGACCGAGAAAACATTTGGTGGTTTCAGGCATTTTGATGTTTACAGGGATAGTTCAGCAAAAAAGAAACATATTTACTCACCCTCATGTCGTTAACTTGTAAAACTTTCTTTATCCTGTAAAATATAAAATGACCTAGCTGGCCATATTAGGTTATCAGGAAGTTAACTTTTGGTTATAAAAATAAAACCTAAAAATAACCATTAGCGATCGTTTTATGAAGGTTTCCTTTGGGTTGTCTCATTAAAAATCCCTAGCAACGCTCTGTGAAGATTAGAATAAGAAAAGCTGAAACCAAATAAGAACTTTAGGGAACGTTATTGCAAAGATGGAAAATGACAACGTTTAGTCACCGTTCATGCTTATTCTATCTAGCTACTTTCCGTTCAATGAAAGTGAATAAGGGTGTGTTTCTGTTCAACTATAAATAATAACTGGGGGACGAATAAATTATGACAGAATCTTCATTTTCATCTTCATGTTTTTCTGAATTCTGCCATGCTTCTGAAGATGTTGGAAGTGTTTATTTAAAGCTCATCTAGGTCTAACTTCATGCTGTTAAATTATGCAACTGAAGATAAATGGTTTTGTAGTTTTATAACAGTAATGAAAAGCGAGTTAAACCGGATTGTTGTGACATAAACAACTGCTGCATTCATGCAAAAGCAGTAATTGGGCTTTGACAGGGTTAAGGTAGTGGGTGTGTTGCTCTGGAAAAGATGCATTTATGCATGCAGGTCGATGCAAAGTGTGGGTGTTGGTCAATTGGTGATGTTCTTCGCTGAAAACGTGCTTTTTTTAGTATCCTGCCTGTAATGCAACCTGAAAAGATGCTGGGCAATGTAAACTGGAAGATAGAGTAACCTTAATAAAAAATAAATAAAGATAGATGCTATTAGTTAACCCCAAACTTCAAAGGTCTCCACAAAGTCAAAACGTTTAAGAAGGAGACCAATTGTTCATGCACCATCTATTTTATACATGAGAAATAGCTTGTTAATGTCTCTTGGCTCTGTCGCTTGGGCCCTTAAGAGCTGGTCTAAATGCTTCTCCACAGACACTTCAGCCAGCCCCACTTGATTTGATTGAACATTAAGTGAGGTTAATTTTCTTCCAGTGGAGCCTCTAATCTTTAATAACATAGGCTGATGGATGTCGGCTGTGGGCAAATCATGGAGCTGGATTTTAAACATCAGACATTTAAAATCCCGGTTGTCTTACAAAATATCCATATTATTTAGCGTCACTTAGAGTGACTAACTGAGTTTCATTTATGGCACACTTACGGGAAATAATAATCATTTATAAAGGGGGATTAAATCAGTTGTGTAGGCCTATTACAGAGTGCAATTATTTGTTGTGTAATTGCTATAGGCCTACTGAGTCTTCAAGATGTTCTTGGACTGCTGATCCACTGCTGTTGTCACTTTTGCATCTGGTCTCTCCAGTTCTCTGAATTTCTGTGAGAACACATCACTCTGACGAAAGCACTTGTAATACATGGAGATTGTAAACAACTTGCTCCACACATGTCATGGTGTGTGTTTTCAGTTGTATCCTGCCATCTTGTGGCAATTATCAATACGCACACTGTTCATGATATTGCTAAGGAAAGCTGTATTAAATAAAAAAACGAATATTATAGACCTATATGTATTTATGTTATTGTTAATTAATCGCGATTGTGTTTACATAATACAATAGCCTATATGTAAACACAAAGTCTTATGTTAGATCTATGCGAATAACCGATTCGACAGCAATAATTTATGTATTTATTTAATTATCCATTTTCCTTTAAAAAAAAATCAATTTTGTGCCCGTAAAATGAATAACATAATTTTTTATTTAGCCTATTTAATTTATCCATAATACACAATCCACATTTATTCCTCCTTTTCCATATTTTCGTTTTGTGATATGCTAAAACATAAATGTGCAGTAAAGACGTTTAAAAGAATAACATTATTTGTTTATCATTTAATTAGGTGGGAAAACTTTATTCTGTTGAACAATGGAAATACAAAGAAAAAAAATATATATATATTTTTTTACGTTTTTAACTTCAGAACTTTCTAATTAAAAGTTTACGTTTGCTTTTAAATGCTTAAACAGGCCTCTGATTATACTTGTTGAAACTTTTTTGGCTACATATTTTGACTCTATTTTGATCATTTGACTACATGAAATATTGAATGACAGTGAAGTTGACGCTATTATTATTGCTAGTGCACAGTGATAGTGCAGTAATGAATATGAATAGCACTGTTGGCGCGCCGAATCTGACGTCATTCTGACGCTGCTCCAATCAGAGGGCACGAATGAAGACGCGCTCCAGTTGCTGGGTGTAAAGTGAATGACGATGCAGCTGCGTGTTGTTTGTAGTCGTCTGATGTCTTTGAGTACAGTGAAGATGCCAAGAGCAGCGGCACAAATGAGTCTCTCTGGACAACTTTGAAATCAAGGTGTGTATTGTCTTCTTTGTACTTGTTGATTCGATTTTACAGTTAGGCTTATATTATATTAATATAACAGCATAACGTACAAACAATACATAAAATGCCCAACGCTCCTGTATTGTCTTATGACCAGTAAGTTACACGTTCGATATGACTCAAAAATGCACATGAAAAATGACACAGCAACTTTATAATGAATAAAGAAGAATTCGAAAAATATTCTGTTTATTTTTTCATATCTTTAAAAAAGTTTGGTACAAGAACAAAATGAATGGTAATTTTCTGGCTGCATGTTACATTTGATCTAATTAACACACCTCTTATCTACGCGTTGATGTCAGAAGTATGCTTAATTCTATGGATGTATACAGTATATGTATGTTGCACACATTTTGTACACAGCAGCAGGCAGTTCAGGAGCTCTTGTTTGTCACTAAAAGCAGACAGATGAACCCCCTGTAACTCTTGCATGATGCAGGATACTTTGACTGGATGACACATATGGGTCAGTAAAAGTGCCTCTGTTTTTCTGTAGGACTGAACCTGAACACTGAGATTCGGGAGGTGCTCTGTAACCCAGCACAGATTGTTCAAGAGTCAAGGTGTCGTATGAATTTCATAGCATTTTACGTACAATATTCTATGTCCACATTTTCTTGGAAAACTATACTGGTGAGATAGTTGTTTGCTTTATCCAGCCCCAACAGACTTATCCTGACTTTATCAGTGGCTCGTTAGGGGTGATAGAGAAATATATTTGTATTTTCTTTTTATTTGACTAGATATGCATTTAAACAAAAAATTCAGTATGTACATTTACACATTATTTCATAAATATTGAGAGGGTTTCTTGGACTTATTCCATTTGATCTGAACAAAAGCATACAAGTGATATTTAGACTTTGTTATTATATTTAAATGTGCTTATGTATTTATTGTGTATGCATTTATAAGTTGAAATAAAATTCCTTTTATTACATTTTCCTTACATACAGCTATTAGTAAACTAATCCACCATGAGTGCCCAAGTGGAGGCAGACGTCCACACCATATCTCCTGAGATGCCTGCCATGTTTGATGGCGTGAAGCTAGCCGCTGTAGCTACGGTGCTGTATGTCATTGTGCGGAGCCTGAATCTGAAGTGTCCCACGGTGGCCCCTGACATCACCTGTCAAGATACCCCTCTCAATCGCTACCTGCTGAAGTCTTGCCCCGTTCTAACCAAAGAGTGAGTACTGTGACCTAGAAGACTTTCTTGTCATCTTTCATCTGACTTCAAGTTCTCACACATGGCAAAGTACAATAAATATGTAATCTTTCTCTTTGCTGTAGAATGACTGTAGAAGAATCTAGAAGTAGATATTTAGTTAATTTATTTATAAATAAATATTAATTTAAAATAAAATATTTAGTTTTTAGCACTTGGATATTTTTGAGCAGGGGTGTCCAATCCTACTCCTGTAGGGCCAATGTCATCCAACATCCTGAGTTTAGCTCCAACCAGCTCCAACACACTTGCCTGGAAGTTTCTAGTGAGTCTGAAGATCTTGGTTGCGTCTCAATCAGCTCTCTAGTTCAGTAGTCAGGGCACCGATCAGGGACTCTTGTCTTGTCTCAATCGCAAAATCCTACCAGTGCACTGAAACGTTCGCTCCTTAAAAAGTCCCACAATGCACCGTGAAAACCAGGGAGCATTGATGCTCACTATGTTCCCTTAACAGAAGATCTAAAGCGCAAAACATAAATCGCGTGAGCCAACTCGCTACACATAACGACACGCGATAGATCTTTTTAAAAATACAATCCATTATTTAATTAAATTTCAGCATAAACATACATCGCTTAGACAGCTAACATCTATCATTTATTTACGGCTGAAATGTTGCACATATGTAACAAGCTAAATATGTATCATAAATGTACTGTAAATAACATTAAAAAAATATATAATAAAGATATCAGTTCTGCTGTTGTTCATAACCAGTAGTGATGTTGTACATTGAGGACGTTGTCATGTCGCCAGAAATAGACTAGAGTCATCACAGTAATCCTAATGTGTAGTGAGTCAGCGTTCTTTACTGTCCTTACCAGTGCCCGAATTTGTAAACACAATATACTGATTGAGACGCACCCATTGATTAGCTGGTTTCAGGTGTGTTTAAGGGTTGGGCCTAAATTCTGCAGAGCAGGAACAGGTTTGGACACCCCTGCTTTTCTTTAGTTATACAGTTTAAACTTTAAAACTATCACCCTGTGCATCCAGGTACATCCCTCCCTTGTTATGGGGAAAGAGTGGACATCTCCAGACTGCTCTTTATGGGAAGATGGGAAGGGTGAAGTCCCCTAAACCCTGTGGGCTGCGCAAGTACCTGCCCATGCAAGATGGAGCCACTGCCACCTTTGACCTGTTTGAGCCACAAGGCGTCCACAGCACTGAGGGTGAGCTTGGGTTTTGCATTGAATGGATAGTTAACCCCCCCCCCAAAAAAAACACAAAAATGTTGTATACATTTTTTAAAAGATCGGAATATTGCACACAAATGATATGGATTACTTGCTTTTAAGGGTGCCTTTTTAGACCTTGACAGCTCGTTCCCATCCACTAAGGGTGTTTACCGTGTTTATAATTAAAACAATTTCTCTGGAGAGGGAAAGGTGTTGCTCCTACTGTTACTGGAGTTTATCTGTCTCCGTCTCATCACAGACGACATCACCATGGTGATCTGCCCTGGGATCGGTAACCATAGTGAGAAGCATTATATACGGACCTTTGTGGATTATTCCCAGAAACAAGGCTACAGGTGCTCCGTTCTCAACCATCTCGGAGCGCTACCAAACCTCGAGCTGACTTCCCCAAGGATGTTCACCTACGGTAAGCCACGTGTGTTTGTTTTGAAACCCCACACTTTTGAACGGCAGTGTACAATGTTATATATTTATATATATGACATTTTATATGATTTGAATAATTTATTTATATACTTATATCTAAATACACATGTACAGCAACCACTGAAAGCTAATTTCTATGTTGTTTGTCTATGGTTTATTATGCAACACTATGTTAAAGGTTGTACCTGGGAGTTTTCAGCCATGGTGGGCTACATTAAACGCACATTCCCACAAACTCAGCTCATTGTGGTGGGATTCAGTCTGGGAGGGAACATCGCCTGCAAGTACCTGGGTGAGAATCCAGCCAATCAGGAGAGAGTGCTGTGCTGCGTCAGTGTCTGCCAGGGATATAGTGCTCTGAGGTGAGAAGTGTACAATTGAATAATATTGTCTGTTTTGAGTAGTGTTTTACATTTATATTTATTCATTTAGCAGACGCTTTAATCCAAAGCGATTTACAAATGAGAACAATAGAAGCAGTTAAACTAACAATATGCAAGTGCTACGATCCTTCCCAGTTTAATCTAATGCAGTATGTGTCCTTTTTTTTTTTTAAATTACATTTTTTTTTAAAGATAATATAGATATAGAATAGAAGATAAAGTGTTAGTATTAATGGATCAAGTGTTGCCGAAAAAGATGCTTCTTCAGCGCTTTCTTGCAAATGGCCACGGACTCCGTTTTCTATTCTATATATTTGTGTTTAGGGCTCAGGAGACATTTCTACAGTGGGATCAGTGCAGAAGGCTGTACAACTTCCTCATGGCAGACAACATGAAAAAAATCATTCTATCTCACAGGTTAGTATTTTAAACTATTGTGAGGCTCTTTTGGAAATTTGATTCTGATTTGTCAAACACTGCATTCTGGGGTCAATGAACAGTTAATTAATAATGATCACAAAATAAACCACTTCAGGATGATACAATAGTCTCAAAGAATGAACACTGTTTTTACTTCCTGAGCACGTGTAACTAAGTCAAGTAAATCTGTCCTGTAGGGGAAGTTTATTTGGTATGAGCTCTAGCAAAATGGAGTTTGCCGACCTCAGCCGTCTGTATACAGCCACCTCACTCATGCAGATTGATGACAACATTATGAGGTACTTCAAAAGCTTTCATGAGACAATTCTGACCTGCATTAAAGCATTAGTACCAAGGATAGCTCAGTGTTTCATTTAGGATAGCAGCAAAAACCTGTGATGGACTGCAGTTATGTGCCTATAATGATTTTTATCTCTATTAGGAAGTTTCATGGACACAACTCCCTAAAGGAGTACTATGAGAAGGAAAGCTGTGTGCGTTATATTCACAATGTAAGTAATATCGTTGAAAGCAGGTCATATTATTTGGCAGTTTTTATGAAAACCATACTCTTTGTCTCTTATGCCAGATCAGCGTTCCTCTCCTCTTGGTGAACTCTTCAGATGATCCACTGGTCCACCAGTCACTGCTGACAATCCCTCGCACACTAGCAGGTATTTAAAAATTCAATTATTTATTTATCTATTTTATTATTTAACATGTTTATCCACTGAAGGACAGATTGTGGATTATCGTAACATGCTTTACATTTCAGTACTTTACAATAAGTTATTTTTTACTTTTACTTTACAATTATTTTACATAAATAAACTACATTAATTAAAGTGACGCTATAATATTATTTTCAAGGTTCCTAATTTAGTTTTGAAGGTCTGCTACAATAGGTTTACATGCATCCAAGGTAAAAAAAATAGAAGATTCAGAGAATAGAAGAATAAAAGATTCAGTCTCATTAAACCCCTCCTTTCTGAGAGCCTACTCTGCTCTGATTGTTCAGATGGCTCAGTCTGTTGCATTGGTCTACTCTGCTCTGATTGGTCAGATGGCTCAGTCTGTTGTGATTGGTCTACTCTGCTCTGATTGGTCAGATGGCTCAGTCTGTTGTGATTGGTCTGCTCTGATTGGTCAGATGGCTCAGTCTGTTGTGATTAGTTAAATTTACCAAATGCATGAACTAATGTTAACAAATCAGACCTTATTCTAAAGTGTTACCAACATATCAGCACCGTAAAGCAAAAGCCCATGCGTTTTCGAGACGTATGGCCTAATAGTGCTTTTAGGTGCCCATAAGACTCTCAGCACTGTCGAGTCTAAGATCCTGCATTGGACACCTGTGCTGAATTTTTCAGGGCCATCTGATCCTTCCCTCTGAGATTATTGATCAGATTACTGCCGTTAGCTTCTTCCTTCAAGCCTCGGGTGAAAGATCCAACAGCGAGCCCTTATTAACAAGTCTGCCTTGCACAAAGGAAATATGCGTCACTTAATCTTCAGCTCCTTGCACTGAGCTTCAACAGAACTTTAAAGTTGATGCATTTTTTAAGAGGCCACAACAGAGGTCTTTGCAGCTTTGCAAGCTTTGGATTAATTATTTAGCCTTTTGAGTATATGTCTAATTGATATTTTAATGCTGTTAATCGGGTTATATAATTTTTTCAATTTATAATGATAATAATATGGTCCATAATAGGATTGATAACCGGTTCTTATTTTGGTTTAATGCGCTGCACACAAAAAAAAACAATATATAACTTGGTTCTTTTTAGTAAATCGAAAAAATATTGCGCAACCAGTGTAGTCTTATTCCCGAACAAATGCCTTTCGTGAGTCGGTTGTTTTTAGCGAATCAAAAGCCTGTTGCATAATCAATGTAGTCTGATACCCGTTCCCGAACAAATGCTTCTCGTGAGTCGATTCTTGTTAGTGAATCAAAAGCTTGTTGCACAACCAGTGTAGTCCGGTTCCAGAACAAATGCCTTTCTAGTGAGTTGCTTATTTTTCAAAGGATTATGACATTGATCTTTATTGATTTTTACTTTTTTATTTTATTTTTTATATATATACACTCACCTAAAGGATTATTAGGAACACCATACTAATACTGTGTTTGACCCCCTTTTGCCTTCAGAACTGCCTTAATTCTACGTGGCATTGATTCAACAAGGTGCTGAAAGCATTCTTTAGAAATGTTGGCCCATATTGATAGGATAGCATCTTGCAGTTGATGGAGATTTGTGGGATGCACATCCAGGGCACGAAGCTCCCGTTCCACCACATCCCAAAGATGCTCTATTGGGTTGAGATCTGGTGACTGTGGGGGCCATTTTAGTACAGTGAACTCATTGTCATGTTCAAGAAACCAATTTGAAATGATTGGAGCTTTGTGACATGGTGCATTATCCTGCTGGAAGTAGCCATCAGAGGATGGGTACATGGTGGCCATAAAGGGATGGACATGGTCAGAAACAATGCTCAGGTAGGCAGTGGCATTTAAACGATGCCCAATTGGCACTAAGGGGCCTACAGTGTGCCAAGAAAACATCCCCCACACCATTACACCACCACCACCAGCATGCACAGTGGTAACAAGGCATGATGGATCCATGTTCTCATTCTGTTTACGCCAAATTCTGACTCTACCATCTGAATGTCTCAACAGAAATCGAGACTCATCAGACCAGGCAACATTTTTCCATTCTTCAACTGTCCTATTTTGGTGAGCTCTTGCAAATTGTAGCCTCTTTTTCCTATTTGTAGTGGAGATGAGTGGTACCCGGTGGGGTCTTCTGCTGTTGTAGCCCATCCGCCTCAAGGTTGTGCGTGTTGTGGCTTCACAAATGCTTTGCTGCATACCTCGGTTGTAACGAGTGGTTATTTCAGTCAAAGTTGCTCTTCTATCAGCTTGAATCAGTCGGCCCATTCTCCTCTGACCTCTAGCATCAACAAGGCATTTTCGCCCACAGGACTGCCGCATATTGTATGTTTTTCCCTTTTCACACCATTGTTTGTAAACCCTAGAAATGGCTGTGCGTGAAAATCCCAGTAACTGAGCAGATTGTGAAATACTCAGACCGGCCCGTCTGGCACCAACAACCACGCCACGCTCAAAATTGCTTAAATCACCTTTCTTTCCCATTCTGACATTCAGTTTGGAGTTCAGGAGATTGTCTTGACCAGGACCACACCCCTAAATGCATTGAAGCAACTGCCATGTGATTGGTTGATTAGATAATTGCATTAATGAGAAATTGAACAAGTGTTCCTAATAATCCTTTAGGTGAGTGTATGTTGATGTTCTCTCTTTTTGCACAAAAAACGATACACCAGTCGGATCTTTTGAATGATTCAAAGCATACTGCTCAACCAGTGTATTCTGATTTCCGAACGAATGCCTGTCATGTACCGCTTCTTTTTAGTGAATTAAAGCAACCAGCGTACAGTTCCCGAAACTTTAATTCTTCTTTATTTGTGCTTTTTATTTACTATAAAAACACACTACGACCACCAGTGTAGTTCGACTCTCTAATGAAAGACTCTTATGAGTCTAATCTTTTTATCAAATCAAAAACATGCAGTGCAGTGAGTAAAGTCCCATTCCTAAACTGATGACACTTATTTTTTGATGAATCAAACACATACAGCTTACATCTAATTAGGGCCCAAGCCCAAAGGGCGAAGGCCCTATTGTTTTCCTTAGGATTATTAGGGCCCAAGCCCAAAGGGCGAAGGCCCTATTGTTTTCCTTAGGATTATTTATTATTATTATTAGGGCCCAAGCCCAAAGGGCGAAGGCCCTATTGTTTTCCTTAGGATTATTTATTATTATTATTAGGGCCCAAGCCTTGAAAAGGCGAAGGCCCTATTGTTTTCCTTAGGATTATTAGGGCCCAAGCCCAAAGGGCGAAGGCCCTATTGTTTTCCTTAGGATTATTTATTATTATTATTAGGGCCCAAGCCCAAAGGGCGAAGGCCCTATTGTTTTCCTTAGGATTATTTTTTTTTTTTTTTTTTTTCTCTTTTATTTTTCTTACGACTATTCGGGCACTTTTGGGGCTCTTAACGTGCACGAAAACTCTTGAAACTTTGCACGCGGGTCAGAACCCGCGGCCATCAGGGTCGGGGTGAAGATGGTACCCGGGCGTGGCAGGGGGGCTCGACAGCGCCCCCTGGAACGGGGTCCGAAAACTTGGTCCATAAATCAAACACGCTTGTATGTAAGAATATGAAACTCGGTACACATATAGATCTCATCGGTTCATATATACTTCATGCTCTTACTTTTTACCCCAGCCCAACAGGAAGTCGGCTATTTAGGGTTGTTTGTAAAACGCATGCAATGGAATTTAAAGTACTTCTCCTAGAGAATTCAAAGAAATGCCTCGAAACTCGGTCAGCATGAAGTCAAGACATTGAGGATGAAAAATTGCGAGGGGATTTTTGATATCTCGAACGGTTTGGCCGTGGCGGGGAAACGAAATTATGGCGAGAAACGTGAAACAGGAAGTGTGTTATAACTTCTGCATACATTAACTGATCTTGATGAAACTTCACCAGTGTGTTCGCTGTAAGAGGCCGATCACATGGATGTGACTATTGTGAGTCAAAGTTATAGCGCCACCAACTGGCAGCAGGAAGTGTGTCACTTTCAAAATGCTTCGAAATCACCCTCTTATTTTAACCCAATTTGCTTCAAACTTCATCTGTATAATGTAAACATACGCCAGATGTAGACCTGTGAATGGATTCTTGATATCTTTGATACTGTTGCCGTGGCAACACATCAAACTTTAAAATTCTTTTTTGATGCTTTTGAGACTCTTAGCATGCTTGAAATTGCATGAAACTCGACAGACATGTCACATATATTAGCCAGTAGACATGTGCAAAGTTTCAGGAACGGGCGTGGTGCAGGGTCTCAGTAGCGCCACCTTTTGACAAAAGTGAGAGGGTTAGTTTCATAGTTTTACCTGCAATCTTAAAACTCGGTAGGCATATTGTTCAGATCAAGCCGGACAACTTTCTAATTTACAGTTTTTGGTTCCGAACAACAGCAAGTCAGATATTTTGGTTTGAATGGGATGTTTTGGAGTAATCTCTGTCCCTCTCTCCCTCTCTCTGCATACCTCTGTGTCTGTGGGGGGAGGGGGATGTGTCTGTTTGAGTGACAAAGCTTTTAATTATTGTTGATCAAGGTTTCGGGGGCTTTTGGGGCCCTTAACATCCTCTAAAACTCTTGAAACTTTGCACACGGGTCAGAACCCGTGGCCATCAGGGCCGGACTGAAGCTGGTACCCGGGCGTGGCAGGGCGGACCGACAGCGCCCCCTGGACTGGGATTCGAACACTTGTCCATAAATCAAAGACACTTGCATGTAATAATATGAAACTGTGTACACTTATAGATCTCATTGGGTTAAACAACTTTCGTGCTCTAAGTTTTACGACATCCCAACAGGAAGCCGGCTATCATGGTTTGTTTGGAAACGCATACCCCTGAAATTCTATTTAATTCTCCTTGGGAATTGATCGGATTTCAAGCAAACTCGGTCAGCATGACGTCAAGACATTGATGATGCTAAATTCCGGAGGGATTTTTGATATCTCGAACGGTTTGGCCGTGGCGAGGAAATTAATTTTATGACTAAAAAAGGACA